CCCCAAAACCCCAAAACCCCAAAACCCCAAAACCCCTTTAAGAATTTTTAAGATTGAATTGTTACTTCCCTTATTATTTCCCAAGATGGGCAGCGAAATCTAATTTTCTGCTCATTGAGAGTATATCTGTGAACTCAGGTGTTTTTGAACTCTTATAAATGATGCCATGGGGGTTCCTCCTACTAGCTGCTTCATGATTAGCCGTATCTAGTATTTTCAAAGGGTTCTTCTCGATATCTACTTTGGTAGGAATGGCAGGCTTGAACACTGGAGAAACCGCAGGGTATTTGCTCTTCATCGACTTCTTATTCCGCTCAAAGAAACTTGAAATCTGCTTGTTGACATTTGTATTCTGGTTTAGAGGATATACAGCCTTTGAGTTGTTATCCCTGTAAGTCACACTCCCAACTTTATCAAAGTTGTTATGATCGTTAAGTTGTAACTTAGAGACATTCCTTTGAAATTTCTGAGGATGAGGATTTGATGGAGATACTACCTCTTTTTGATAGTTATCGTTAGACCTTCTTTGATGCACCTCTTGATCTAGAGTGTTGCTTCTCCTAGACCTACGGGCATCTATATTACACTCCTTGTTAATAACTTTCTTCTGCTGGATGTCTAGCACTGGATAAGAAGGCACAGAGTATTTGTTCTTATGAAAATTATCAGTATTCGAAGACTGGTAAAACTTATTAATGTTCATAACGGTTTTATTTGTTGGTCCATTCCTTGCCATTTCTCTTACGGCATAAGATTCCTGGGTATGCTCAGGTAATTTTGTCATTGCTGATCTTGATACCATCCTTTCTTGGTATTTCTTGTTCATCTTTCGAAGATCGGTGTTGACTAAGTTCATATAATTTTGAAGCTTGCGCTTAGAATTAGCAATCCTTGCATCTCTCGATCGATCTCTTATTCCAGAGGGGCTAAAATCCTTTCCCGAATTATTTTTCTTTGTCTGTGTGATATCTCCTTGATTCTCTCTCAAATAATAAGTCATCTTTGGTTTCCATTTATTCGGATTATCATTCATATTTTCAAGAGGTGCTATATTCTTATCTTTAGGACTAATTTCATTAAAAATCCTGAACTGTGTATTATTGTTGATGATTTTATTCGGGTTATCCTTCTGTCCTTCTCTATATCCTTGCTTGACTAGCTCGGCCTTCTCAGGGTCAAATATTGTAGGTTTAGAATATTTTTGGGGCTCTGGAAACTTAGATCCTCTGTTTGTCTTAAAACTTTCAGTTATTTTAATGGCTTTCCCAATAGACCGATTTCGATCTCTATGAAAATTGCTACTGACATCCATCCTATTTTTCAACTGAGTTTCCTGCTGTATGGGTCCATGCATTCTTCTCTGTGAGTTCATAAACCTTCTGTATGGAGAAGTTACATCCTTCAAGCCACTTTCCTTTTCCATATTTTCAATAATTTTTATCAAAAATGGGGTTTTGGGGTTTTGGGGTTTTGGGG